AATTTTAAATTCCGTTGTAAACTCTGTTCCGTACGGTATATCGAACCCAACAGTCGGTACATTTCCGCGTGTGAGGCTGCATGGCGGTTGTTGGGTAATGAGTTGCAGTACAAAAAACCTCCCGTTCAGCGTTTGAACTTTCACTTGTTTGGAGAACATAACCTTTTATTTGACGAAGATGTTGATCTTGAAGATGTTATCAACAAACCCACAGTTGATGAAAGTCAATTTCTTGCGTGGTTCGATGCAAACAAAATGTACCCTCAGACAAGGGAACTAACGTATGTTGAGGCGCCCTCAAAATTTGTGTGGAATACAACAATCAGTCAATGGACTCCTCGAAAAAATGAGGACCAACCCTCTGTAGGTCGTTTACGATACGTACCTCCCGGCAGTGGAAATAATTACTACTTGAGATGTTTGCTCAATGTTGTGCGTGGGGAAACATGTCATGAGGACTACATAAAAGTCGGTGAAGTCCAGTATCTAACATATCGTGATGCTTGCTACGAGCGGGGTTTGTGTTGGAACCCACGAGGATCTCGAGATGCACAAATCACAGACAAACATTCAACATAAACCTATGCACAGCGGATCTAAAGGTTTGATGAAGAAAACTTACTGCTTAAAATTTATGTAGATCTGGCTGGCCCGGACAGTTGACCGCAAATCAAATCTTCTCGGAATCGAACAAACTTGACCAATCCAGAAAGCTGACGTCACGGCGAAGTCAACGGCGTTGACCGGTCGGAAATCGGACTCCACACGCGCTCGCACGTGCGACGACAAGCTCCAGCGACTGGGACCTTCGGGCGGCGCGTGGCGGCGCGTGAGGTGGCGGACGGCGGCGATCTCTTCGTTTCGTCGTCCTGGTCGTCGTGGTATGGTCACTTGCTGGTTTTAGTCTCCGGTTTGGATGTATGATTGGAATCTCTATATACCTTAAGATCTTCTACTGTATTCTCAAACAGCTTTCTAGATCTTGAATCAGTGGAACACAAGAAATAGAAGAACTCCTTGGAAGAGAGAGAAACAGAGCTGGACGTGTTTATGAGCTGATGGGATAGTTCTCCTTCTCTTCCATGAGCCTAATGCTGTATATATAGAGCTACAGTAGGGACCCTAAGGAGAATAGGATAAGGGCTTCTAATATATTAATACTGTGGAGCAACCCCACAATTAATATATTAATAATATTAAAGTCCACCAGAAAAATATTATTGCACTCCCCTCACCTATCCTAAATTACATTTGAGACTCCTTATTATAATTATCCGATTTACCTCCCCATGTTTAAGATATAATGTCCATTAATTAATTCGATCACTAATAATCAAGAATTAATTAATATATTATATTACCGAGGCTAGCGCTCGCTCATAGCATTCATATTATGCCGGAATAAATCCACCTGCAGGGTTTAGCATAATATTCCTTCATGAACTCACTTCGGGGACATCATCATACTAACGCACATGGTGACCGTAAATATCCTAATAGCACATCGAACACATAATGTCATTACCCAATTAATTAAGTATGTCGACCCGGCTTGGATCTCACCCAAAGAATCAAAGCAACAACAATTATGTGCACATGCCTATTTAATATCTTACGGGTTAAGAGCACGCAATAATTAACTGAGCCTAGTTCGTTTACGACGATTAGTATAAAACGAACATCCCTCTCTGGGATCTTGTTCAATACATAAATGTACTAGTGCAACTAATCGGTCAAGACAAACCGTACAGTTTGACACTACAACCGTTCCGATGGGTTGTTCAATTCCATCTAGGTTGTGAACCAACGATTCTTGTTTCGCAAGTAACTGATATAGTGATCTTCGGTACGCCCGATGACGACCCACTTATCTACATGCAAAACAACAGAACCTGGAACTTATTTAACCAAACATAATTCTCATTCATCAAGGAATAACAAGTGTAATATCCACTAAAGCAAAGGTTAAGTATATAACACCAACAGTTTGTTGGAGGATGATCGAGAGTATATAGACGACATTACGGAAGCAAGTCAATGGGCTTCTGCAGACTCCCTTAGACGCATGTTTGCATCTTTGTTGGTGTCCGGTTCATTTGGAAGGCCCGAGGACGTTTGGACAAAGTGTTTGCCATTCATGTCAGATGATATTTTGTATAGACATCGTCGATTACACAATAACGATGGTAACGGATTACTTTTTATAATATGTTTAATCATAATTTGAGTTTTATCTTTATATACAATATTCTAATCGTGTTAATATTTTGTTATTTTTATGCATAAATAATTGATTTATAGGTTTGAGGCTCACTGAAGAAGAAATTAAGAACCTAGCCCTTGCTGAGATTGAGAATTTATTAAGACGTCGCGGGACAAGTCTTCGTGAATACGAGACTATGCCATTTCCGGATAGGGACAACATCTATCCAAGTTCGAATCGTCTAATTTTGGATGAATTGAATGACGATCGAAAGGCCCTCGCTGTTGAACATGAAATGCTTTGTAATAAAATGACAACCGAACAAAGGAGTGTCTACTCAGGAATTATGTCTGCTGTTGAATCCGGCCTAGGATGGCTCTTTTTGTATATGGTTATGGTGGAACCGGGAAGACGTTTCTGTGGAGGACTTTATCCGCTGGTTTGAGATCCAAAGGAGGTATAGTCTAATGTGTCGCATCCACTGGAATAGCGTCTCTTTTGTTGCCTGGTGGACGAACAGCGCATTCTCGATTTGCTA